CTTAAGGCAGGGGTAGACAAGTTCAGTCCTAGAGAGCCGCAGTCCTGCAGAGTTCAGCTCCAACCCTAATCAAACGCACCTGAACAAGCTAATCAATGTCTTCAGGATTACTAAGGCTATAGGCAGGTGAGTTTTGTTTTCAGGGATGGAGCTGAACTCTGCAGGACTGTGGCTCTCTAGGACCGAACTTGCCTACCCCTGGGCTAGTAGAACAAATTGACATGAACTTGTAAAGTTTCTTATAGTCATAATGTTTGCTAGATGACCATCAATATAAAGTGTTAGGAGATATTTTAGCAGACAGTCTACTACTACTTTAATGACTGCTACCTGCTGAAAAAAAAACAATTGACACCATCACAAAATTTGTAATGGTTTTACTGGTTATACTGGGACTTGTATTGGTTTCACTGGAAACTTTAATGGACCCTGTTGGTCTCTATTGGTAATTGGTCACCTTCTATAGGTGGCTTGTTAAACCAATAAATCCTAATGGAATATGTCCCAAAACACACTACAGAAAACCATTCTTTAATGGTTTTAATGTTTAAAAGTTGATGATTTGTATTACAAATGGAAATTCTAATGGAAACCATTAGAATTGTCTGTGATGGTTCTATTGTTTTTTTCAGCAGGGAGTTAACATGTAATTGCAAAGTTACTTATAGTTGGTAGAATGTCTAAAGTGGACTCAAAATAAACAGTTATCAAAAGACATTTCTCAGAATATCTATGTGTGTGTGTGTGTGTGTGTGTGTGTGTGTGTTCCACAGAAGAAAACAAATCATACAGGGTTGAAACAAATGAGGGTTAGTAGCAAAATTTTCTATTTTGGGTAAACTATCCCTTTAAAAACTGAAAGTTAGTGTTGAAGAGCTGTTTTAAACCACAGAAACAAATTCAAAAATGCGTCTGTTTTAGCCTGTTTGTTAGCCCGAAGAACCTGTTCCTTCTTTTATTTCGTATATAGGGGTCTTCAGATGGTCTTTTGGCCTGGCTGGTTAAGGTGGCCTGCTCTGATGGTTTTAGAGAGGTTTAGGGCGTTTGTAAGGTGGCTGGAAGACCAAATGAACATTATCTTGGCCAGACTGGAAGACCAGCTAAACCCGTTTAATCTAGCTGGTTAACTGGGTTTAAGCTGGTTTGCTTTTAATATAGTAACTTGACTCTTTATTTATCCAAAATAGTACGTTCATAATGTTCACAGAAAATATTGCTGATGGACGACCAATTTTATATGCATAATTAAGGCATATGCCTATAAGCTGAATTCAAACAAACATTTTTTTTTTTTTTAACATAACACAATTTTCTCAAATATTTGAAAACAGAAACAATGATTTATTGACTGGCAAGGCTGTTATAGCTTATGCAGCTGGCGATATGACAGTATGTGTTGATGTTCTCAAAACTAGCCTAGGTTATGGCACGCTGGCCACACAACAATGCTGATATTCAGAATAACACTGTGTGATATTGTTTTGCTGTGATATGGTCAAAACCTAGGTGCATTCATATGAATATATGAATGGAGGTTTTTCTCTTATCAACTGTGAAACAGTTTCAGCCATTTTATAAAATCTTCAATACTGAAATAGACCATCTCATCATCACTACTACTATAGCCTACTACTACTACTACTACTACTACTACTCCTCCTCCTCCTCCTCCTCCTCCTCCTCCTCTCCTCTCTTCACCGCTGAAGACATTCCAGCCAAACTTGTCAAAAATCCGCACGCGCAAAATGACTGACAGGCAGAGATCGTTTCTGATTGGCTAAAAAGTGCAGGCCTCTCCCACGGCTTTGTATCGCTGTTTAAAGAGTCTTGTTTGTGTCATTTTTAATGCTTTATGAAATATATGTGGTAATAAAAACATCAACGTAAGTCAAAAACATTAACTCCCTATGGTAGTTCAGATTAATAAGTTAAAACCTATAAAAACTCACCTGCGACTGGTGGAAGGCCGTCTCTGATATTTTGTACTTATTTAAGAATAGCTTTACATAGTAGAAACTAAAAATGCTGTTCATCATGCCAGCACCAAGCGTTGTCATGGAGTAAGCCAAAGCAGCTGGATTAGCAAAGTGTCTCATGATGCTAAGACGGATGTTTGACTTGCTGGAAGTTAAAGTTTGTCCACAAACCGGACAAGCAACATTCAATATATGAAACTTAACACTATAATAAAACTCATACAATCGCGGCGAATTAGTTAACCCTCCCCGGATCCTCTCAGACAATGTTGCCAGAAAATAAAAGCTTTGAGTAAAACACTGAAGTTTTGCGTTTAACCACAACTGAGCTCATTCTACTTAAAAACAGTGCAGTGTACCACTTCCTGGTATTCAAAAGTAGGCGTGGCGTGTACGCAAATCATCCACTAGTAAGCCGTCATTGGACAAGACGCCACCAAAGTCCCGCCCTCGCCCTCCTATTGGCCAGCGCAGAGATGCGTTCTTGTTGTTATCCAGTCGGCTCTCTAAAGCGGAGTCTGCCACGTTGCTGAAGATAGACGCCGGTTCACACCGCTAGGGATTGCCGCTCACCGGCGTTCATCCATCAGACAAAGGGCGCTGATGTCCTAAAATAAACGGGAAGAACGGGCCTAAAGCTTTCCCCGGAGTTGAGATGCTGACGGACGTGATAGTAGAAGAGGAGTTTGATCACAATGAAGAGGAGCTGTGGTACAGCAGGAAGGATTTGGAGCATGGTAAGACTCGACAATAATGTATGCATTGCGAAATGATTGTACTTTTCACTAAAAATACGTTTCGTTTGAACACTCGGTCTACAATGGCTAAGAAGTGCGTCAATACGACGTGACTTCATCAGAGGTCAGGGGAAATATTTAGGGGAAGCGATAGTGTTTAAACCCCGAGTGAAATGAGAGTACAGCAGTGTAAGCTGTCTAACTGAAGGTCACGCCCGCTTTAATGCGCACTCTGACGTCATCAGAGGGTGATGACACATTTGAAACATACAAAAATTTCACACACAAAAACAAAAATATCTTAATACATGCCCTGTGTTAAATTTCTGATTTTGACTTTTATATTTCTTCAATAAAAAGTCCGTGACATGTTAAAAAAAAAATACTATGATACTTCAAAACCCCCCCCCGAGGTATTTTGCAATATCTTTATTTGTTAAAATTGAACGTGAGCTATGCTTGTTTTTTTTTGGTTCTTATCTGTTTATAAGTTGTATTGTTGTTATTTGTATGTTCCTTTTTTCTGCAATTAAAAAAAAAACCAACTGAAACATGTTTGGTTTGTGTATTCATGTCACAGTGTATTGAATATTATTTGATCATTTGTTTATAACATGAAACTTGTGACGAGTAAACCATTGGTTTTAAATGTTCAAACATAAAAAAAAAAATGCAAATACACGGAAAGCTGTGAAATTTGTGTGCTACTACATGATGTTAGCTAATGACTTTATTTTCTGCTATTTAATGTCCAATATACTTGTTTTACTATTACGTAGAACACTGACGATAACTAGATTCTTTTTTTGCATTTGCACTTGGCATATGCTTTTATTCATAGCATCTTTAATATGTCTTTATATTCAAAGGACGCATTTTAGCACTGCATGTGCGTATCAAACCCATGACTGCATTGCTAGCATCATGCAATACCAGTCAAGCTACAGCAACTTACTAGTTTAAGCACTATTATTGTCCATTTGAATGATGCTATTGTTTTTCATGTGGACTGGGCGTCTGCCGCTGGGTTTGGCAGGATAACGCCCACTAAGTCTACTCGATGTTTACCGTTCTGTCTTCTCCGTGTGTGTGTGTGGGACAGATCTCCATTTGGCCGCTGAGCTGGGCAAGACTCTGTTGGACAGGAACCATGAGCTGGAGCAGGGCCTTCAGCAGATGTACTCCACCAATCACGAGCAGCTGCAGGAGATTGAGGTGACCCTTCTCCCACAGCTCCCAAAATCCAACACATCTGGTTTCTCGGAAATTCTGGGAAAAAAACTGGGATTGCCCTGCAGTTACCTTAAGACAATTCATTTTCTTATAAATTGTGATGTTAAATCTTGATTTTAAAACCATCCATGGTCACATTATCTGCTAACTATCCAATAAAAAGGCAGAAATGAGTTTAGTTTCACTGTCGCTGTACTTGTATGAACTCCACTACTCGTTCCCTTCGCGGAAACAGCGGGAGATTTCCTGTTTGATCCTCTTTCCTCGTCACAGTTAGGACATCGTGCAGAGGGACAACTGCTATTTCTGAAACTGTAACTGTCTGGCGTGACACCAATCGTGAGATAAGACATTAACAGTGTTTGAGGTGTTCTGTTTGGCTAATGGCCTGGCATGGGTATTCGCTCTTACGTAATTCACTTTCTAAGGATAATGTTTGGAATGGTGTACTATTCTCATTATTTTTGCCATGTATACATATATACTGTGAACATATGGCATATGTTCTGTAACAGTGTTGGGGAAAGTTACTTTTAAAAGTAATCCATTACAATATTGCGTTACTTCCTAAAAAAAAGTAACTAATTACATTACTTAGTTACTTTTTATTGAAAGTAATACGTTATAAAGGATATTTGGATATTATCCAAATATCATATATAATGGATATGATATAAATATAAAAGATATTTGTATTATTTAACATATTTAATTATTGCAGCTTTGAGTCATATTCTGAGTTGCTTTTAACTAAATCAGATTTTTTTTTTTGTGAGATGAATTAATGCATGTTCACATTTATTCTAGAACTAAAGTAACATCTTACTCCCGATTTCTCGCAACATGGGGACAGGAGAGCTTTCAATCAATAAATGGGGGAAAAAAAAAGTAACTGGCGTTACTTATTTGAAAAAGTAACTCGGATATCTTCTTGTAAATTAAAAAGTAATGCATTACTTTACTAGTTACTTGAAAAAAGGTAATCTGATTACGTAACTCGCGTTACTTGTAATGCGTTACCCCCAACACTGTTCTGTAAGCGCAGAATACCTCATCACATCACATTTGCCAAAATTTGCATGTGTACAACAAAGCACACTGCATAGAATATCCCACCGTGCAATCAGCTTTGCTTCACCTCCTAGTGTTTTTTTTTAGTCATGAATTACAAACGTGATCTCCATTTTGATTATTTGATCAGACAACCAAAAGATTTAAACATAAATTGAATCTAAAAAAAAAAAAAAAATCCATTTATTTTCAAGATGATAACTAGATGCCATGTTCACATGCATGTGATGAAGTCATCTCAAACGGTGTTATTGATTTAAAGGTCAATTAATGCATAATGCATACATACTTCAGTATACCATAGGCAGTATGTAATTTACACCTTGCAGTACTCAGTAAGCTTCAAGACTTGATCCTGGTTTTCTAACTGGTTTGGATGTTTCAAATATACTTGACGATATAATCTTTAGTCAAACATTGACTTGTCAGTAACAATGTAGTGGGAAGTTTGTAATTGCAACATGAAGTAACTCTTCCGTCTCTTGTAATGAAACATTGACAAAAGTGCAGGGAAATGTTTACAAAGCCACAGTTGCATTAGCTTGTGAAATGTCTTGTGAAAACTGGCCTGTGGTTTGCTTTAGAGAATCTTTAGCATTGGCTGGCTTTAAATGACGAAGTCCGTGGTATCCACCATTTTTTTTGCGATGTGGAAGTAAGCTCTGTGAATGTGTGAGACTTATAGGTAAATAACTAGAAGAAGAACAAAGTGCAGTAAACACCAGTGTGTTTATGATTGGTAACACATTAAAATAATATAATAAGAAATACTAGTTTGCAATATCAAGCAGCGTACGTTTTGTACAACTAAAATAGACAAAATACACAGGAAGCCTTGCGCATTCAATGTAAAAATTGCTGCGCCTGTTCTTACGTTAAAAATAGTGGTTACTTTCGAGGGTGATAACAAATGTCCAAAATAGGGGCCTAAATGTAAAATTGTAGTGTGTCTTTCTGTACTACTACCAGCAACAAACACATTTGGTCGACCATTCTGTGCATGTCAAGCTGGGAAATATCTAAAAACGGCTGTAAATGTTGATATTATTCAGGCTTTTGACCTTAATTGGAGAAAATGTTAGAATAACGCAGTTGTGCGTCCTCAATATGACTTAAAATGATTAATATCGTCAAAATAAGCTAAAACAACTAAAAATCAAGATGTTGCTTATTTTGAAAACTATTACCTTTGAAGAACCAAAGTTATGTAAATTAATCAAATATCCAAATTGGATGGAGTCCTGAAATGTAATTATTTCTATTTTATTTATTTTAATCGATTTTATTTAATTTACAGAAACTACGAGTTTCCATAGACCAAAAAAATAAAAAATAATTTTTAGTGATTATGCAAACAAATCGTTGAATCGGTTCAGAATCGATTCTTTGAAATGGACAGTGTGAACCGATTCACAGAAATTAATCAAACTTGCCAGTCCTAACTTACCACATTTTTTGCTTACAAAGGTTATTAGGGAAAATAAATGTGTAACATATTGTCCAGCTCTAGGGAGGACTATCCAGATTGATCAGTCTGGTTCACAAATATCTGAAGACTTGTGTCTGTATTGCCTCTCGCAGTACCTGACCAAGCAGGTGGATCTCCTGAGGCAGATGAACGACCAGCATGCCAAAGTTTATGAGCAGCTGGACCTAGCAGCCCGAGACCTGGAGAAAAGCAACCAGAGGCTGGTGCTGGAGAACCGCACGGCCCAGCACCGGATCCAGAGGTGAGGACAAGTCCAGATCTCTCTGCAACAGCACTGAAGTCTGAACATGCATCGATTCATTGTTCTTTATCTGCAGTCTAACCGAGACCATAGATGGGCTGCAGACTCATATGGAGGGTCTTCAGAAGCAGGTGGACGAGCTGAAGGTGTCTCAGTCCAAGAGAGATCTGGCAGCTGCGCGCCGCAGCCTTGCTGCCCAAAGCATGTCCTGTCTGAAAGAAATCTATGATCTGCAACAAGACAAGTGAGTCTGGAGCCGAATGACGCCAACAAATCCCTATCATTCACATCAGCATCACGCAAACACCCATGCACTCATGTCTCCGCTTGTCATTGGAGAGTTCCACTTTGTGCTGAAGATCTTGCTTTTACTTATACGTTCTGTTTTAGTTGGCAATACATCAATTTCAGAAGGAAATTTGTGTTTGGCAAGCCGTTTTATGGAGACTTTAATTTAGGTAGAGCCTGTAATTATGCTAAGGGCTTGTGGCCTCATGCAGCACTAATTGAAGTGGACTCTCTGTGACGTCCAGCTCATGATTGACCTCTCTGATCTGTGTACTCCAGTGTTAGTACGTGCCGACTGGGCATAATCTGACCTGGCCCTTAATCCAGTAATCCCTGATCTAATCCATCAGTGCTGCAGAGGCTAATATGGAGCTAGAAGTAAACCGTGTGCAACAGGTCCTGTGATGCAATTAGCAAGAGGTTTTCTGTGGATGCATCTCAGAAAAACTAATTCAAAGAGGGTCATATCATAATTGCATGATATATTGGTACCATATCTGTTATTAGCCAACTATTACAGATGTTTATTATATATTTATATTTATTTGTGTGCTCGGTTTTCCTATGTTTTCGCATTTAAATTACTACTTTCGTAATTACTACTATATGTTCAATTAAAGTACATTTTTAAAAACACTCATCATTTTTATAAGACACTTTCTCAAAATGAATATCCATTTTACATAATAAACATTAATATTGTGCTGCCTAGATCCACTTGTAGCATTTAAAACGATTAAATAAATAGCCACAGAGTACAGAATATTTTTAATAATACAATAATTATTAAATAAAAATATTCACTTATACATAATATACATAAACATTGTGTTGCCTACATTCACTTGTAGCATTTAAAATGATTAAATAACTACAGAGTACAGAATATATTTATATTAATAAAATAATTATTCATTTACTAAATATTCACTTATACATTATTTACATTAATATCGTGTTTCCTGAATTCACTTGTCGCATTTAATATGAAATAAATACTACTATATAACTAATAAATAGTACAGAATATATTTATAATAATAAAATACTAATAAAGTAATACAATTATTAAGTTATTAAAATATATTAATAATTAAAATATTTAGAATAAAATAATTAATGTTAATATAATAAAATAATAAAATTGTATATTTTTTCATTTTATAATGTTAGTCTAATCGTAGTGTAATGTTAGTCTTATTTTATAATGTTATGTTTTTTTTGTTTTTGTTTTTTTCCCCCAGAGTAATTTAGATTTTCATAACTCTGTCTGATCCTTGGAATTATCCTTGGAATTAAATGGCCCGTTAATGCTTATAAGACTCATAAAGAATGTAAACTCTATCATTACATGCCCACTTTCTTTAGTAACAGACTTTTTGCAAAGCTGCATTACACTTACATGGGTTAAGAAGAAAAAAATCAGCCCTAAATTGTTTTGCTTAAACATCTCATTAAAATAAACTTCAGACACTCATTTCTAATGAAATGAAAATGATTTACAATCATTACTATATTAAAACTATATTAAGAACCACTGGGTTAGGATTTATCCATTTTAATACTATTTCCCCCTTATTACAAATCTATTGATCACATATTGGCTACGTTCACACTGTCAGTTTTTGGGATTGACAACCGTATTCTGCTGTTGTGTGAACGTGGCATTGTTGTTACTAACATAGTATCTTAATTTTCCATATAGAATGCTTTCTGGGTGGCAAATTTATTTATTAGGATTGCACTGACCATCCTGCACTTGTAGATGTTTATTATAGAGCCGTCCAGTACCAGTTTGTTCTCCATATATTCTGTCAAAATAAACAACTCCTGCAGAAATGGTTGCTCGGAATCATGCTCCTATCGTCTTGTAGGTACTTGAGCTCAGAGAGCCTGCAGGAGGAGAAGTCCTGGCCTGCATTGGATGACAGGCATGTGGAGGAGGAGAACTCCACCCTGCAGCACACCCTCCACAACCTCAAGGTGCAGCTGGTGTCCGAGCGAGCCCGGCGGGTGGAGGCCGAGCACGAGACAGAGCTGACGGTGCAAGAAAACAGTGCTCTGGAGGAGCGTCTGTGTCTGCTGGAGGGAGCGCGCCGTCGACAGGCCGAGCTGGAGGCCGAGGTGGAGGAGCTCCGGCAGCTGTGGCACTCCGAGTCATCCGGCGCTAGACTGACAGACGCGCTGCTGCCCGACAGCGTTTTCTTCGCCGTGGGGGCGGGGCACGAGGAGGAAGAGGAGCTGGAGGCGGAGCTTCCTCAGGGGAGGCGGCGCTGCAGCAGCGAGAGTTACGTCCGCGGGGCTCGAGCTGAAGATATCCGGCGCGGACACGAGCGCACGTGCATCCGCCGAGCTCAAGCGGTGAAGCAGCGCGGGATCTCGCTTCTCAACGAGGTGGACGCGCAATATAGCGCGCTACAGGTGAAATACGAAGAGCTGCTCCGCCGCTGCCAGCAGGGGGCAGACAGCCTCAGCCACAAAGCCGTCCAGACGCCCACCGCTCCTGTGCAGCGCCGCAAAAACCAGGCAACCACAACAACAGACACCATCTGCCTCGCAGACGAGCTCCATCAGCCAGAATACAAGGCCCTGTTTAAAGAAATCTTCACCTGCATTCAGAAAACCAAAGAGGACCTGAGTGAGAACAGGGCCGGGCAGAGTCAGTGAGTTGGCAGTATTATACATCTTCAGTGTAGTGATCTTCAGCGCTTCTGAATGAACTTGATGGATGTGTTGAGAGTTTTAATAGCGCCGTGGTCTTCGTTTGTGTCGATTGCACTATAAAACCTGTGCCTATACACAACACCAAACCGTCCACATCCAAAACTGCAAATGCAGTAGACCTGAACGGTGTTTTTGTACTTTTCTAAGTCTTATTCCAATGATTGAGGCACATGGGATGTGTGGATCTCTGCGATACAGCCATATGTGACACCCGAGTGCATCTGTGCTTCGGGTTTGAAAGCACATCTTGATTTCGTAGAACCACATCTGTGCGGAAGGTCAAGACTTAACCGTCCAATGTGCAGAAGGTAGACTAAATTATTATTACTAACGCCTAACACAGTTAGCGAATTAACTACTTGATGTAAATCATACGTCTGATAGGGTGAATCTCACAAAACCAAGAACGAGAAGTTTCACCCCAAAATCAAAATAAATATAGTAAATTAAGCCCGTTTTTAGGACCATTTGTTTTGCTTTTTGACGTTATTTTTATGATAATTAAGCACATTCTGTAATTCTGATTCTCATTACCGTAATGCACGAAAAATGTAATTGTAATATATTTATACATCGAAGTAGTATTTGTCGAGCTAATTTCAGCTAAATTTGGCGCAAAAACGTATTCCAGTAATTAAAATCTGTTCTTTCTCAGACATGTTTTTGTGGGATTCATCTGATAAACCTTAAAAACGTAAAAAAAACCCGAACAAACATGATTAAGGAATTCAGTACGACAATATGTAGCCATATTCTTCGAGTGTCTAGAAATTTCAGAAGCAATATTAAAATTCTTTTTTTATTACTATTTAAAAGAAAAGACTGCATGTGATTTCAATGACATTACTAACAATGCTATTTGAGGCAATACTGTTTGCTGCTTTTATAAATTGTCTGGTTACCTCAATGGATTGATGTGCTAGCAAAATAGTTACAATTAGCTCGTGCAAATATGCAATATGCTTGAAATTCTTGTGTAACTTTGTGTGAATAGTTTGTTTAGAGCAAATCGTAGTTAAACGTTTGGCAGCCACATTCGCTTAAGTTCCCAGCACTTTGTTTTGACGTTCACGTAAACACCACTGTAAAACTATGCACTTTGGACTACAGGCCTATTTTTGTTTTAGTTCCATTTTATTTATTTTATTATCGTTTTTTTTTTTTTTTTTTTTTTCCATTCATTGTTGTTGTCCAGAGATTTTATTTATTTTCTTGTTTGGTATTCATTCACTGTTTTCCAATTTTTTTTCTCTCTCTCTTGCCTGTGGGATTATGTCAACAACAGATTGTTACCGATGTGTTGATATGAAGACACTGAAATGTTGAAAATGTACTAAATTGAGGGTGCTATACGTTTGAGGATAGAAGTCTATTGAACAGATGATTTGACTGAGTTACTTAAATGTTACACCAACACAAAGTAGAGCATTTTATGTAAGTTGTTGTAAGTAGTTCTCCGGTCAAAGTGGTTTAACAGTTGGTCAAACAATAGCTAATTATTGTGGGTTTATGTCTTTGATAACTTGTATTTCATAAACCATGCGCTACTTAATACCTAATCAGGATCAAGCATGTTCAGGTTCATTTTGTAACATTTTGAAGCTGTTAAATGCCTTGAGTTGGACAGTTTAAGTAGGCTTTGACTTTTTAAATCGACGTATTGCGTAGATGACTAGGAAAGTGACATGTATAGAGAAAAAGAAAGAAGGAAAGTGTTTTTGATATGACTGATGTCTTAAATAGCAGGCGGAGATCACAGGGAAATGTTCATAGATGGATTGGTCCTGACAAAGAAAAATATTTGAATATTGTCTTGAGGGAGCAACATATATTGTGGTGTTTTGCATTTCTGATCTTATTGCTTTATTTCAGTAAAAATGGTGCTACTGTATTGCAGCCGTTCCTGCGCTAGGAAAGTTAGCTTTTTATTTTAGGCATAAATTCCTGCCCTTTTCAAATGCCATCTAAAATGATAGCTTATGCTTCTTCTTGGTCAGCGTTGTGTTAGAAGGCTACAGTGTGCATGATCAGATGTTAGTGTGCAGCAAAAATATAGCTCTTGTGCTCAAGATAAAAAAAAAAAAGAGTTTGTTTGAAAAAAAAAAAAGAAGTTAGTTTATCTTCAGGTGTGTTCCTTATGGAAGGCCGTGTCCGCCACTAAATAAAAAATAAAACAAGGTAATTGCGACTTTTTATATCACAGTTCTGACTTTTTTCCTCAGAATTGCGAGTTCATATGCAATTCTGACTTTATAAAACGCAGTTGCGAATTATAAAGTCAGAATTGTGTGATATAAACTCGCAATTGTGAGAAAAAAACTCAGAATTGCGACTTTATATCTCGATTGCGTGTTGTAAAGTAAGAATTGCAAGATATGAACTGACAATTCTGAGGAAAAAAAAAGTCAGAATCGAGATAAAAATTCGCAGTTACCTTGTTTTATTTTTTATTCAGTGGCGGAAACGGCCTTCCATAGTTCCTTGAAACGTATACAAAGAGGTAAATTGACCAAATCTTAAATGCAGAGCAACTATAGCTCTCTGTGTAGAATTTTCGTATCAATTAGTTATATCTTGCAGGTAAAACAATCAATTTGTGATAGCCACATAAAAATCGTGTTTGTATTTGTTGAGAATGTACACAATTGAATCTGTTACCTCTTCCGTCCGGAGTTGATGGTTGTTTCAGCCATACATAAATCTTGAGTTCAGTGTTTTAGGTAAAAGACTTTGAATAGTTTTCTACATTATTTATTACTGTTAATCAGCTGCAGATTATAAAATTTGACGTGCTTAGGAATGCACAAGCTGGGTATAACTGGTTCTTCTCAGAAATACACTGCGCCTTTCTGAAGATCAGTGATCTGTATATGTAACGGCATGACTAACATCTTACTTGGGTTGTCCAGAAAATAAAACTGTATGAATGAACCAATTACGCTTGTTCTGGTTTTATTTAACGATGAAATATCCAACATAACAGCTCATTTTTTTGTAGAAATATTTTATCATTGAGATTCAGAAGAAATTACCTCAAAGCAGGTTCAGGGGCTACACATTAGTTAATGGACAATACGGTTTATTTTGCGTGTTAAAGCTTCAAATAAGACAAAATCATCGTGAAATTAAGTCGTGTATTCCGCATTTCTCTATTTGTTTTAATATTATATGACTTGTACAAAACGCGGATAGTCATGTTGTTTTCTGATTCGTGGCGTCCTCTTGTTTTTTTTGGCAACGTTGCTGAGGTAAAGTTTTAGTAAACCGTTCAAGAAAACGCAATGCTTTAGTAGCAAGAGGAGCACATTTTTATTCCACTTGTTAATTTATAACTGATGAACTATTTTCTCATGTCACAGTTGTAACTTACATGATATCACAAACCTAACAGATACAACTTATGGAAAAACAACATATGCTAAGTCTTAAATACAACAGCCGATAAAAGTATAAAGCAAAATCAAAGATTATATCCGTAGACATTTGCCTTTACAAGTACAGCTTCTGAATATAAAACATAATTTCATTGGCGTTCATGTATGCCATGCATGGCATACATTTACTGCTTTAATGCGTCAAATGTGTAAATGCTGTTAAATATAGGCTAGTTCCAAACCTTTACAGACACCAGGGCAAATCAAAAATGTCTCACTTTGAACATTTATCATTTCTTTTTTCAAACACACTAGTCTATTATGTCTGTTATCTGAGTTGACGTTGCTTGTGTTTTGAAATATGAACACATATGACACAAATGTAATACTTCAACGGATGTGAGCACACACACACTCGATCTCACTCATTCCCCCAACACACACCAGCACAGTTCATATGGGGTTCATCAACTGATACTAGAAACAATACTCTTTAAACAGTTTAATGAAATGAAAGAAAGAAAAATCATAGGTGACTGTAATGTGTATAGCCTCTCTCTGAGTGTCTGCCTATACAGCATTGGTTCTTTCTGTCTCAGTATTAATACACTTTCTTTCAAACTCATCTTGTTTGAGTTTCTTTGCTGAGGTAGAGACAAAAGGCCTTTATCCTGATTCATCGGAACAAAATATAGTATAGTATAGTATAACCAAATAGTGTTAATGAAAAGAATATGAATGAAAAAAAAACAGTGTGTGCTGAATCAACAAGTGTTTCGTTTTGCAATGCACGCATTTAGGAAGCGCAACTATAAATGCACTTAATTTTGTGGAAGACCATGGGCAAACAATCGAAATAAATTAAAGACATAACTGGAGAATTCACCAACACTAACTTTTCCAGCATCACAAACAACATATTTAATTTACATAGCAATTTTCTGTCTGCCAAGATCACACTGCTTTTTCTTGCCTATTTCAAGCTATAAATAAATGAATTCTGGCATAAGTACTAACAAACATAATTTTAACACATAGCAGTGACAATATAGTGATACAATACAGTTCCCAAGCAGCTCTGCAGGTTATATTTCTTACATTTACCCCAACCCTACATCACACGCCTCAGTTCTCTCAGGACTATATAGAAAATATATAATGTACAACACCAAAGTGATTTTTGTTCTTGATTCTTGAAATTCTTGATTTCTGAGGTGGTGCGGCATTGTGGTTAAAGATCTGATCTGGTAGTAAAACACTGTGGGTTCAAAATAGGGGTGAGTGATATAGCAAGTAAATAAATCATTAATAAAGAAACATTTTTTCCAGCAAATCTAAAAATAATCATCTGAACGAAACAGCCACTGTAGCCCATTAGATTACAAATGTTTAACAAAACAGTTAAAATTGTGTTTCAAATAATCAATGCATGTTTTTACCATTTTTAAATATATCATGAATATAGAACAATACACAGTAATTATAATAGCAATAATTGTGGATGATGCTCTTTTGTTGAAATAACTATGTTTCTTCTTAATTTGTTTTCTTATCAGTTTTGTATATTAGGGTTGTGTGTTACACCTAATGTTGTTAAATGAATGTTTATTGCATTATTTCAGTTTCATGTGTGTTACCATGATGGTGTTTGTGTGAATGAAACTGTGCACCTTCTATATATGTTATTATTTAAAAGCTGCTTGTGATGGGCTTTGGTTCATCATGTAACTTTCTCATCACCACCTGTATTTGGTGGTTATCAGTGTATTACAAAGGTACTAAACAGATTTCAGTACTTCAATAGGTTGGTATATTAACATTATTTCAGTTAAATGAAGTAAATTAAGTAAAATTAAGTTAAAGCCGTAAAACCTAAAATGTTGCTACCGTATTTTTTACGGTAAAATTCCGGCAACCACAGCTGCCGTTTTTTTACCGTCAATTTTACAGAATTTTTTTTACAGTGTATAAATACTTTTATACATATAATTTTACATTTTAAGTATAAATACTCATGCTGAACTAAATGTTCATCACACACATTTAAACTTCCATGTTTACTATATGTGATGCGCTCTA